AATAATAATAATAATAATTGCTTTATTCCAAAAACAGTACTCATGATACAGCAAGGAATTTTCAGCATTCAATACAATATTGCATCTAATTTACCCAAAAACGACGAAAAAAAAATTAAAAATACACAATACATAATAGTAATAAAACGATTGTTGTAGCAGCTGCGTATCAAAATACTGTGTGCCATACGGAGAAAAATATGTATAAAGTACAAAATTGTAGTAATAATAGTAATACCAACTAAAAATAAAATAGCAGAGTAACGATTTAAACGATAGAAAGTGTAACACCATAAAATACAGAAAGATGAACGATAAAAGGGTCGATTCACTGTGCTAATTACATAGTAACTTGTAAGTTTCACGTCTAACAGAGTCTTCGTCACATAAAGTACGCGCTAAATAGGGTATTGTAGAATTTCTATACTTAGTAGTACGAGCATATATCTTTTTATATTGACTTCTCGTCCTACCTGATGAGATACAAGGGGACAGGTGTGAATAAAGGGGGTGCAGAGGGTCTGACATTATAGCCTTTGCCCATTTCGTACAGGAATTTATATGCCTCTCGACTATAGTATTAGCGAGCTCATGCAGTGGCAGACCACAAGCTCTACTCACAGCATTTAATACTCTTCGTAATATGATATAATCTTTTTTGAGCAGCCCAGGAAAGATTAATGGAGAGCAGTAGAGTACAATAGGTAAAATACAGGAGTTTAAAAATTGCAAAACTAAAGGTTGGTTGATACCTGATTGTCTTAACTTTTTAATGTAGAAGGTAAGACGAAACATTTTCTTAGAGATAGATAAGATATGGGATGACCATGAAAGGTCAGAGGAAAAAACTAGTCCAAGGTATTTAATACTTGATTTGGTTTCAATTTCCGTGCCATCTATGCTACAGGGATCATGAGAGTTAGCTAGTTCAAGTAAGTCACGTCGATGCTTGAAAGTAAAGTCAAGCACCTGACATTTGGAAGGATTTAACATAAGACCATTGTTCGCCTAAAATTCATCTCGTTCTAATTACACTGTGGCGATTTTCAATTTACTGAAGATCTTATGTTTGATTAGAAGTAGGTCTATGGGTTCGTCTTGTTGAAGAGCGCCAAAATAAGACGAAACATCCGCCTTGTACTCCATGGTTTTCAGTGACTCTCAGACTTCTTGATGTCACTTCGTTATCTGAATTCATATGTATATCTTCTCTTGCTGCTGCTGCTGCTGTGCTAACAAATGAAACATCTGATGTTTGATTTGTGAGTCACTCTATCAATGACAACTAAACACCCAGCTACCATTGAACTAAAATCCACATATTCCTTTTGATATAGTGAAGTGCCACATCAAATTTGCTATGGGAACAACAGAGGAAATAGTCAGTAACCTGTGAATAGAATTTACAGAGGGACTAGTGTATCCTAACAAGTAATTATATTCAGCACATTAGTTACCAGGCAAGTCAGTATGATTAACACAATCTGTGGAATACATTAACTAAAGCATTCATAGTCTACTTAAGTCACGGGAAGCATCGACTGACTTCACTATCTTGATGTTATTTGTTATATGGCAAGCAATTCACATAGTGTGATATGAACATTCAGCCCGCTGGAATACTTGTCTCTCACAAAACAACACTATCTATATTCACCCCAAACGCTATTAACTGAAAGATCCAACTGAGAACGAAGACAAAACTTGGCGCAAGGTATAAAATCGATTTTATTGGGCTGAAAAGATACTCTACAGACCGAATTGGACGTCCACGTCTTCTGCTTCTTCTTCGCATCCATGGGGTAAACAAGCCGTCAGCTGACATGATATGCATTCATTCACATCATGTTGGCCACATTGCAAACTTGACCGATAGAATTTAGTCTGCACCAAAGACAGGACTAGACATATCACACTAGTTACTAGTGTCCAATCACAGTATCCAATACAGTCATACAGCAGGTAAATCGCGAGCCTGAATAGCTCCTCACTGGTAGCGTCTCTGCAGCACTGGATGGTGATTTGGTTTCGATTCCCAGAAGAGATATGAGTTCCTTCAAGGTTATAGATACGCCTTGCCGACAGGTGAGTGCAGACTGGCACGAAAACTAGGTCGAAGATTTCCTGCCGATTGCCTCCAATCATCCAATACCAACTGACGATTAGTAGACAAGTAGTTCATGTAAATGAAATTTATCATTAACTTAACGATAGGTTATGCGAACAAAAAATCAGATGTCCGTTCAACAAGAAGAGATGAATATGAACAAGAGGAGCCTATACAATCACAAGGGAACAGTCAGTTGCTGTCTCTGTCACCATGAAGAAGTGAAAAACCCAACTGCATAATGAAGTTAAAGCTCAATAAGTGCTGTCTGGGGGGCACAACGAAACGTTTACAATTAAACTATCCAGCCTAGAGGATACAACGACACCAAGAAAGCATCATATTGAGCTAAACACCTATATGGCTGTTAGGTTTTTCTCTATGTAATCATTATTTCAGACAATTAATCGCCCTAATAAATTTGAATAGTTCTGTCATTAGAGACGGAGATTATCTGAAAGTTGTGATGACATGTGTTTGCGCAACATATTTAGAAAAATCTGATGGCACACGTATTTACATGTCAATTCGAATTATATGAAAAAATAAGGCCAACTAAAATAGACGAAGTGACAAAAAAGGATTTAAGAATAATAGCAGCTAGAATAATTAGTACTAGTTTCGGTTTTCCGATCATGGATTGACATCTATAGGTTCAATAATAAGTCAGAAAAGTGTGTATTATGTGGCGCGTTCTTCCCTATCATTAAACTAGTGAAAATGGTTAGTACCAACGTGTTATTCGATGCAGCAGTAGCCAGGTTGTTTCGGGTTCGGCAGAGAGATAGAATATTTGCCAGACACTCATGTGATTCGGAGTTCCGTTCTCGGTTGACGCACTCCCAAACACCGCTCTTTGGGACAGAAATATGGCTGGTAATTTGTGGGGGCTGGTCATAGGGTTACCGACCGAATCCCGTAAGCAAAAAAAACTTTGCCAGCGAAACTTCGAAGCTGTAACGTGGAACGTTAAAGGATAGAATGACAAATAATAATAAATTCTCCAGTGATCTAAATCGATTTCTGTTTATACTCTTCCATTTCACTAACCAATCTCGGGGTTTATCAGGCACACAGAACCAGGTGTTATTACCTCGTGTTCCAGCTTGTCACATTTCATTATTATTATTATTATCGTTCCTTGGATTCTGAGTGGAGCAAAGGGTTTCAACGGCACATCTCTACTTTGCTCCTTTCTCTGCAGTTCTTTCTGAATGGCTCCACAATCGCCTACGAGATTTCATTTCTTCTACACATGATTTTCTCTATTTAACTCCCTCAACTTACTGCTTTCCGTTCGAGTACCACTCTAAGTCCATGAACGACGAGTGATATCGCCCAACGGCCTTCTCAGAGTGTATCCAATTCATCTCCATTTTGCCCCCGTATATTGCCTGGGTAATAGGTTCTTGATTTATTTGTTATCAGAGTTTCTTACTGTTGATAATCCTTTCTCGCTGGCTACGTGGACTTCCGATTAAGAAGGCAGGCAGCTCCAGCCTGTTGTGAATAATTTCCGTGACACGTCAAGTCTCAGAGCCAAATAGAACCGACGACTTGACACTAGTACTAAAAATTCAGATCTTGCTTACTGTGCTGACTGGCGTTATAACATCTCGTAAGGACATGTAATTTCTGGTCCTTACAATATTTGCACAGAAACCGACCAAAACGCCCACAATCTTAGAATAACCCGGAATACCAATCTCCCATTCATTAGTTGCAACCTGATGAAAATTCTGAAGTTTTACTGGAGATTCTTCATTGGTGGTGTTCTACAATACCGACGTCAAATGGAGGCTAATCAGTGGCGTTGGTTAGTAATGGCGCTGTAATGCAAATTGACAGGAGTAAGAATTCGCGGGCCTTCCATTACCTGACTTATTGGCCACCGAAATCTCCTGCATGAGAATGCTGAGTATGATTCTTGACGCAGTGTTGACTTCAAGATTTGGAACTGTCCTCTCCCACCCACCCCCAGAGGAGCTGAAAACCAACAAGAATACCTCCAAAAATAACGTCATAGTGGAAGCTGAAGGAGTTAATATATATACCAGAGGTATATGAATAAGACTAAAGCAGTAAAGGATGTGAAAAAGGCAGAAAAAACAAAATAAGGGAAATAGGGTTAAAGAGAGACGAAAAGTTGCTCTCGTAAACTCCTCCTCAAGAAGTTGGCAGAGTCAGTTGAGTTAATGACCCCCTGAAAGAACCAACACTACACCACAGCATAGCGCATTTTACATTTTTGTACTAGCATAATGTGGGCATCGAGCTGTTCCCATCTGGCTGGGAAAGTAAATGGAATGTAAAAGATAAACAGTTACACCATAATAAGAACACTTAAAAGACTTTCCGGTTGCTCCTCATGTTTTATATCAGTTGTAAACGTAAATCACCTTAGAGATTATTTGCAGTTTTAGAAACCACTATGGTATACTTATTAAAGGGCGTTGGTTAGTTTGAAGCAGTCTCAGTAATGACTGAGACTTAAATTAAGAAGTCGTACCGTAGATGGTCTGCTACAAGTTCCAGCAAAGTGTAGGACCGTTCGATGAAGGGACTAACTCCGGCCTTAGCCCCAAAGCAAAATTCTGCATATCCTATAGATTTAACTGTTCGGGTATTCTCTAGAAAAGCTACTATAAAAAGCGTGTGTAAGTTGTTGTATCGGTTACTCCGAAAAACCAACCTAGTTGAATCATTATTTTTTTACGACCAAAAATAGCAGGCAAGGAATAGTTGTGGCTTTTGTTAGTTTTCGAAGAGGATGCTAGATACCAGGGTCGAAACTCACAATCTCTACATTGGAACATTGAATGTCGCTTTTAACAACTCATTGATTTACCTTCGTTGTTTTGTGCATGTTGCACAATATTCAAAAAAATCGAGGATGTATGGGAATTCTATGACTGGTAAAGACGATGAGTACGATTATCTATTCAAAGGTAATATAGGTTTATGCAATTTATCTCAGTTGAAAAGTTGTACTAATTGGAGACTCCGGTGTTGGTAAAAGTAACCTACTCTCTCGTTTCACACGAGATGAATTCAACCTGGAGAGCAAAAGTACAATCGGAGTTGAGTTTGCGACAAGGTAATGCTTTTGAAGAGTGTGACCTGATTGTTTAGGAGTGTTCAGATCGATGGGAAGATAATAAAGGCTCAGATTTGGGATACTGCCGGTCAGGAACGATATCGAGCGATTACTTCTGCGTGAGTTTTATCCCAGTATTTTTCGTTGACTGTAGTTCCTCAGTATATATTAGCTACATCAAAATAAGTATTCAAACCTTTGTTTAGATATTTTTTGTTAGTGTAGTTTAATAAAGTTGAATGGAATGGATAGAGTGAGAATTTATTTTTTTTCTTAATTTCTTGAACTTCGCCAGAATTTCTTTACTTTGTTCATAGAGGTGATTGCACAATCGTAGTCATAAGTTATTTTCTTCACTAAGGATTACATTTATTTCCTCTCCATGCCTGTACATCTAGTGAATGTTATCACCCATCAGTCATTCGAAACAGCACATGAATGTCGTATCGTGGTGTTGCTGATTTCATGCGTCTTTTTCTCGATTTGTATCATTGTATCATGTTTTAAGAGCGCCGCATGAAGGTGATGTTGAAATTTGTATTGTGCGAACTACAGATACACGGGTCCTACGGATTAAGTATTTTGTGTTTGAATAAAATTTCTCTCGTGCACCTAGTTTACTTAGAGATGCAGGCTGCTTAGTCTCTTTTCAACAGTGTCCTGATTGTGCTGAAAATAATGGTTTAACTGTTAATTGGTGGAGATTCATTGAACTGTTCACCACATATCCACCAGTTGAGGCATGTGATTGAATTGCATATCAGAGAAAGTACTATTGATGTAATCATGTGTAGTCTTTGCTAGAGTTCGTGAGGCCATCGGATTTTAGGTTGAAACTCAGCCTCAATAATTCACTGTAGCTTCATTAATTTCTATGATCAACAAATTCGATGTTTGACGCAGTATTTGCTAGTTTTTGCTTCCAGTATGTAGCAATCTCAAACTATGTACTAATTTCGCATGTTTGATAGCGTTGTTATTTAACATTAGGCACATTGTTGATCATTTGTGGAGTGATCGGTTATTAGTTTAAGTAGTATTTTCAATTCCCTCTTACTTTCTAAAGTTGGACGAGCCTGTAATCCAAACTGTCGCAATAGATCTGCCGCATTTCCAGGTGTATAACATATGCGTAGTTTCTGGACTAATGCGATTTATTCGTACATTTGATAAATAGATCAAATCGTTCGTGTAGTGATACGTGAATTATCTCAATTTTTTATCGATTAGTGGAGGTCAGTTCATATGGGTCAAGTGTGATAGTCGGACATGATTGTAGTAGTCTGAAGCCGTTTGCACTGCATAACCAATAAACCCACAGAACGCTATTTACGTATTTCTTATTTGAAGTTATCACATGGTTTTCTCCCTTTGTTTTTCAGTTATTATCGTGGTGCTGTTGGTGCACTGTTGGTGTACGACGTCTCCAAAGCACCAACATATCATAATTTGGATCGATGGTTAGGTGAATTACGAGATCATGCAGACCAGCATATTGTTATCATGTTAGTTGGAAATAAATGTGATCTTCGACATCTTCGTGGAGTTATGACTGACGAGGCGAAAAGTTTTGCTGAACGAAATGGACTTTGTTTCATTGAAACTTCAGCTTTGGATTCTACTAATGTAGAAGAGGCCTTCTGTCAAATCATCCAAGGTTGGTTGTTTTGTGCTTCTGATAATATTTATTAGGTTAGATTTTGACTGCAATGGATTTCCGTAGGTGCAGTTTTATTCAAATTTACTAAAGGGACTAGTGCTTACAAATGGAATTATGGTGTTTCTCTGATTCGCATACGGTCCAGTTTTTCGTATGCGTGACCCATGACTGTTTCCTTTAAAGACTGTTAGAGGAAATCCATCTGGCTCTTCTCTTTTGTTGCTACGATTCGGCTGGGCGTTATCTCCGCTTAAGTTGACTTGATTCGTCCAGTTGTAGCTGACTGGGTGTAACTCCAAACTCCAGCCGCTGGTTTTGAGAGGTGGTTGTTGTTAGTAGTCCTTTTTTTTACCAAACAATCCACCAATCACTAGTTGACGGGTATTACAAATGCTTTTATTGCTCCCTAATGTTGAGGTTTTCTGTACTGAACTTTTTCTCATTTAACCATTCTGATGGGACAGGGGAAAATGGTGATGGAACTTGGTAGCTGACTACTCTACCTGCTTCTACTACACCTAGACAGAAACCTGTGGTTTGAAACGATTTGGCTTTCTGAGTCAAGTGGCGTGCACTACTGATGACCTCAGCGCCAAATGGGCGAAACAGCCATCTGCTGTTGAGATCACTTTGGTCTGGCTATCTGGCCAGCACTGCTGGTTGATGTGAGTGGGATACAGCATAAGCTATATAGACGATATGAGCGCGAGTAAAATAGTTCTCATGGCTCGCTTATATGACTGTGTATGGTTTTTTACAGTCTTGGCAGACGTATAGAAGCTATTTGCATGCTAAATTGGTTGGCAAGAATACCGATTTCATTGAATTTGGGGGCTTCTGGCTTCGTTTATAGAGGCCTGTTGTCACTATAGCGTCGCTATACGTGCTACTTTTGCATATAATAATACGTTTGACTGTTCTTGTAAGCGAGATGAGTTCTATTGGGTTTGTCTGTGCAGTACATAATTGATTGACGCGATCAATGATCGGCGTAACAATGCTTACTTATCACTATGTATACTAACGGTGAGAATGGTCCACCGAAGGAGAGAGCTCTGGATTGGTTGCGCCACTGGATGATCCTCCATGCTGGTCTCGTCTCGCAAAAGGCAGAGATGGGTGTGTTTGGTTCTCCTGAAAACCAATACCCAGTAATGGATGTATCACTGTGTGAATAAACTGGTTGATCCTACCAGTAGTCATACACTTGTCTCAGAAAATAAGTCATGCATGTCTAAGTACGTCTTAAAACGGTGAAACCGCGAATGACTCATTAAATCAGCTATGGTTCCTTAGATCATATATGCTACATGGAAAACTGTAGTAATTCTATAGCTAATACATGCAAATATGCCCTGACCCGCAAGGGAACGGGTGCATTTATTAGAACAGAACCAACCGGGGGCAGTTTCGGCTATCTCTGTTGAATTCTGTGATGACTCTGGATAACTTTAATGATCACAGTCAACCTTGTATCGGCGACGGATCAGTGGTATAAAGTTCTATGCATTTACACTTGCTGTCTTGATAACCACCATTTATAGTATCAAGCAGGTCACATACTTTGGTCTTAGTAATTTGGCTCTCCAAACAAATTTGTGGTGAAATTTCACCTCCTGGAACCGTGTAGATAGCGACTCTGATTTAGCTGCATAGCCGCCACGTCCCCCCTTTGTCTAAATACCAACTTATCCTATTTTCCAACTGAGTCGTTGCCAGTCATTTTAATTACGTGATTCCTATGCTCATTTAGATATAAACAAAACTGTTTAGGCGTGGTTAGTGTGTCCAAGTAGTAATACAGTAGCGTTGACTGTTGGGATTATTGTCTGTATGCATTGTTGGCTTGGTGTTGGTAGCCACTAAGAACAGCAATGCCTTTTCATTCTACCCAAAGCTAATACTTGTCTCGTACAAGGGATCTCCGGATTAAGATTGCGGCGAATAGTCACCAATGGAAATCCGTGAACCTGGGGATGTTTGATATGTGAAAACGTATCCTTCTGATTGACTCAGTTTGATTGTTTGCCTTTTTGAGCATAGTATTTGTCGGCACAGATTTATAGATTTCACTCGGATAGTAAGTAGTTAGCAGCTTGTGCCAGAATACATCCCGTTTGCCTAAGTGCAGTCACTAGATGATTAATTGGAGAAAAGAAAGCAAAGTTACATTGTGTGTCCTTCCAAGTTCTTGCAGATCTTGTTAGCCAGATCCAGTCTTAATCCAGTTAATCAATCCGCTTTGTATCTTAAAAAGTAATTCTGTATTCATAATAGGCAGTCCACCAGTATTAGCTATTGAATCTCTGGACTTTGGTGGTAGTGTAATGTTTACTTTTAAGTTTTACATATGTGTGTCTCGAAAGCACAATAAGTATAGTTCAGAATATTAAACCTTTTAGCAATGAAGCGTATTCACTTTGTTTTACGTTAAGAACTGTAACGTAGAGGTGCACTACAGAATCTCATCGTTTATGCAAGGGCTAAGATACTGCTCGGACGCCCAGAACGAAGCAGGTGGTTGTCTTAAATGACCAACGCCTCCCAACCCCTTGACATAGAGTCTGATTTATGAGACAGTGGATCAATGTCAGGAAGTACGTTCTTATTATTCCTGGTGACCGAAACACGTCCACACGGTATTCGATGTAATCGGATTCTGGAGGTCATGTGTGCCATAGGTCTGGAATCAGGGTTTTCCAGTTCGCCTAGGTAGACCATTATGTCCAGGATTCTGGTTATTAGCGCCAAAGGTTATCATTTTCCCCATTGCTTTTGTGAACAACAACCCTGCTGCGTAAAAGTAGTGGACAGGGCTTACTTGGCATGGCCACATGAAAGCATTTCGAGAGTAAGGCCGAAGACTGCCCACCCTCTGTCGTACCAGTTCATTTATAAGGGTATTGGTAAAAAGAAAACGAGAATTAAATTTGCAGAAGAAAGAAAATGAGGTTGACTGATAAGCTTATTAACTTTGTATATTGTTAGAAGTGTTTAGATGGTTGATACTTTCTGGCTGTTTAAACCGTAAAAATCCATTGAACGAGATCATTCAGAATTTCAACGTCTCCTGTGTTGTGGTGTGAAATATGGTGAGTAATATTTAGGTTAGGTGTAGTACTAGGTAGAGAGGGCAAGTCAGTCTATGTGCTTGTGAAGCTACATCGATTGAGATGGCTAGGATACGTATTACTCATGCGAGCCGTCGCCTTTCTTGTCGAGCAGTGTTAGCTGACATAGGGTTGGATTATATAAAAGATTTAGGGGCGATGAAACTAATACCTGGCATGAATCCATGAAATTTCTAACAGTTGGTTTGAACGAACCAAGTAAGGAGGTGTATACTGTCTGTTTGGGGTCATTAGTCCGCTAAGATCCCATGGTTTGAAACTGTTGGTACTATGGCTGAAAATCGTTGTCAGTGGAGCAAATGCCTTGACTCTCTGTGGTCTCCCATATCCGTTAACTCCTGAAGTTTTTTCACGTTATCATTCTTTCTCCTGTGTATTTTCACTCATTGAGGTTGTATTGAATCTGTGTTCTCTTTCTTCTGACTGTTTTTGTGTGCTATATGGAGGGGCTGACAAGAACTTGAACTGTGGCAATTCTGTGCAAAGTTCTGCGTTGAAACTTAGTCATTTAGGCAGAAAGAATTTGAACGACTGTAAAGGGTGGATATACATCTACGGCGTTTTGAAGGACTTTGCCCTTTGTCATTAGGCGTCTCCAACAGTTGATTCACAAGGTCTAAAGATCCTACCCAGACAAGAAATATGCACCTTCCTTTGCGGTTCTCAGGAACAGTCACCAGCCTCAAGGATTTGCGCCAAATTTTGTTCTGAACATTCCTACTCTTTTTCAATGTAGTCATAATTCAGCTGACAGCTTATGGAGGATGTATCTGAGTCACCTCAGTAGGTCAGAATCCTCACTCTTGTCAATTTAGTTAACTCTACTGCGTGACTGTACTTCTCATCTCGACACTGCTTTTATCAGGTTTTAATTAACGTGCATAGGCGATCAAATTAAATTACTTGTGTCTCACAGCCATAAAACAGGAAGAAGCGAACTATTCATACCCTTTTTAAAAGTGTTCAAACATTTCGTCAACCCCAGAATTAGCACTGAAAAGTTGTGGTGTACATTTGTGAAGATGTGGTGGCTCATAGGTTTCAGATTCCTCTTCATCTACTAAAGTCTGGGCAACACTGATGAGGGCTACGCGCCTCAGCCCCTTCATGCACAATATGTGTAACACTCATAGCGTGGCGTGGAGCACGAAAACTCTGTTCCAGGTAGTAGAGTTCTGACTAGCTAAGAAGTTCATAGTTTGAAAGTGTTGACAGTTTCAGTTGAATGAAACATCTCTAAGAAAGATTTATCTTTATTCCTTAAATATTTGTATATTGTGAATAGTACACAATCCTGTTTTGATGCAAGAGTTTCTGTACATGTTAATTTGAACTGAAATTGATATCAGCAAAGTTTTGTATGCGTGTGTCTGCATATGGAGGCGTCTGAGTTGCTGTTACTTCCCAGATGTGGGCACAGAAAGAGCCTTACTATTACCTCACCGTAGACCTGGTCACACATATGGCCTTTTAAAAGTGGTTTTTGGTGTTGTGTCCGGATTAGCACAATTCTCAGGGTCGACCATTTCGAACCTTCCCATCTTCAGAGCGGAGAGGTCAGGCAGCATATATACCTTGTTGGTCATCTGTGGTAGACGCACCACTGCTGTTGCATCCTTATTTGTCGGAAGTAGGACTTCACCCAGAGACCCGCAACATTAGGGTAGACGGCTTACACTATTTTATGATGAATACTTTTAGTTAAACTGCTATCCTAACAACCTCTCTGGCGTGGTAAGACCTTTTCGGACATTAGTTCCCTTAAGTGTATTATTGGTTGGGTCATTCAGATATACAGATAGACGGACCACCATGTCAAATTGCCAGCTATCATGCGTAGGGACTGAAACCCACAGATAACCAGATTGTCATTAGAAGAAATGCATCGCTTGCAGACGTCACATTGTTGCAATACTGAAATGAACTGAACTGGATTCTCATCACAGGACTTTTCACACGTGAATAATAGCTTTATTCTTAACGAGGTGCCTAACTCAGTGTGTACAGAATTCTGACTGTAATTTACTGCCGGTACTCGTGGTGGTGCTCGACGTGAAATGTGAGTGTATTGAGAATTTTGATTGCTCACTGCTGAGAAATCTCATGTTGATGCTCTTTGACCTGACGAAACCACACTCAATTTATTGAGTTTGCGCACAGAACTTTGCATAGATGTTCAGTAGTTCAAGTTACCATACTTCACATAGCGTAGAACACAAATGATCAAAAATGTGCTGTAGAAAGAATAATTACCTAGACAAATATGTGAAGACTTTATTGATCTTGGAGATTTCAAAGTGTGAATCCATCTGCACTGTGGAGGACGATTTTCAATCATGTCACACTAATGGTCCCCAGTCATTGATTCTTAGCATCGTAAGGACCCCAACGACGGTAGTCTCGACCTCTCTGTGTGACTGGCTGTGGGACCAACAACTATCGAAAACTTCATGGATTGATGACAGGTTTTGGTTTGACCACCTTGAACTCTTTCTTTTTCTCCTGTGTTAGCTAACATTGCGCGTCGTGAAAGGCAGTAGCTCAGCATGATCAACACGTGTCCTAACCATCTCGTCGATTGACACACCTTCCCTTCTTATCCAGCGCTGTAGTCAGTCTAAATCTTCCATCATCATGGCCTGGAATACTGAACACCATACTATACTATACGACTCATACTATATAAGTCCAACATGTGTCGGTGGCTTAGCTGTAGAACGCTCGCCAATCACACATGTGATGTTTAGGGTTCGATTCCCCGCCAGCACACTCCTAAGCCTCGCTGGCTAAGCCGGTAGTGAAGGAGTAGAAATGAAAGAAACACCGCTACCGAGACTTTAAAGCTCCAGCTTGAAGCCGCATATCCCACTCGGAACGTATGGGAATCAAATAATGATCAATAAATGAATATAAGTCTAAGTTACAGTTTACTAATTTCTTACTTGTGAAATAATCTTCACTTTAGTTTTTCATTTACTTTCACTTCATTTCATTTCCAGCTATTTATAATATTGTCAGTTCACATCCTCCAGTGAGTAATGTCGATATGAAAATGTCTCCATATCATAATCAACCGATTGTATCACCGAATGCAGACAATCCAAGCAGTGGTCGACGATGTTGTAGTTGAACACAACATGTACAACAACAATGGATTAACTACTATTGATTGATTGATTGGTTGATCGACTACGTAACCTTTACACATCCTTTTCTCTCTCTCTCATTTTATCTCAACAAGTAGTGGTAATGTGTCGATACAAGAACTACTACTACTACTACGACTACTTTTAATAATTTGACCAGAATTTCAATTCCGAAGCCACACTGTCTACCCTTCATGCCAGCGTTCTTTCTTGTCAAGCACCGCTTGTTATCCCGTTTTTTATGTAATATGTTTTTTGTATTTGCCAGTCAGTGAGTGAGTGGGTGAGTGAGTATGGATCATTTCACATATTTTACTTTTTACTCTGAAACTGTGTTATTAACCTTGGTCTCCCTCTGTGTACTACTTCTCACATCAGCGTGTAAGTATGAATGCATGAATGAATGAATGAGTAGTTGTCATTTGTCGTCACCTCTGTCTCTCTCTCTGCCTCTCCCTCGGCGTCGCTCTGTTTCTACTGCCTCACTCACACTCACACACACTTGCCTTCTCTGTCGTATTTTGTATTATGAAGTCAACTAGTAATAATAATAATAATAATACTGATAACAATAACAACAAGGGATTAAAGTAACGACAATACGTTAGTAAATGTGTGAATATTTTCTATGGATATTCTCTCATTCGTTTTTAATCTATTACCTCGTCACTTGCCTGTCTTCGATTCTCCTCCTTCTTCTTGATATTCGTGATGATGGTTGTGTATGCATGTTATGAATAATTTCCGTGGAGTACCTTCTTTCACACGTGAACCTCAGACACACAAACACACGCAAATGGCTTTTGCTACTTGTAAAATTTCCATAATGACGTCGTCATCTTAGTGATGTATGTGTGTATATATATACAATTTATATATACGATATATGAAGAATAAACCAACTGTTTTTTTCGGCAAAAGTTTTCTCTTCTGTTCTGTTTTCTTCTGTTTTGATGTCGTGGGTATACACGCACATAGATGCATGTATGTGTCTTTGTATGTATGAGCGTATGTGTGTGTGCGTGTGTAGAGTGCTGTTGTGCACAGATTGTGATGAACTATCCTTTAATTAGTAATATATATGCCTTTGTTATTTCTAATGCGAAGTTTGCTGCTTTGCTCAAGTGGAATTCAGTGTATGCGTATTGTGTTTGCCTGTGTGTGTGTGTGTCGGTGTCTATCTCCGTTGCCGATATCTGTGTTGTGCTGCTTATACAAAATCTAGCAAAGGATATGTGATTTTTTTGTGATTTGTGAATATACTACTTAATTTGTGATTATTTGGTGGTTTATAGTTTAATTTGTATGCATTTTTTGTCTGTATTTTTTTCTGAATTTATACAACATATGCATATGTATATATATTAGATAGATTAAAGTGCAATCGGGTTTTATTGACTGGTATTTTTGTTCACTTTGGTTAACTGTTTTCGTTGTTGTTGTTGGGTGGTCGTGTAGCTCGGTTCGGTGGTCAGTCAGCCAGCCAGCAGTTGTTAGGTGGTATTCGATGAAAGTGACCTGTGTGTGTATGTGTACTGCGCACATTACAGCTACCTGGCTCTGTCTACTTTCTATGGCCATTGAAAGTGGTGACAGGTATGAAAAGACTAGTTGTCTTTGATGATCTTAGGTGTCCTCATTCTATCTGCCGTCTTAAATGGTATAATTTGGTGAGCAACATTACGGTTAGGCGTAGATAGTGTAGGTGAGGAGGATGAGTCTGTGGATGCCGTTGTGAAGGTGAGTCGATTGAGACGGTTATGACACTTGTGTAGCTCATGAGGAGCCATCGCCTTCTTCAACGGGGCAGTGTTAGTTGCCGTGGGATCCGGTTGGAAAAGAGCTAGTGGTTGGTGGTCAAATGAAAATGTGAAATCCATCCATGAAGTCTCCAACAGTTAGTTTGAGCCGGCCACGTAGGGAGGTGTAGACTACCTAGTACGTCGTTGAAACTCAGAGGCCACCGCTGCTGTTGCTAATTCGAGTCTTGTCGTGACTCACATTTTCATATCACCTCTAATCATCACCACCCACCACTATTCTACATCGATCTCACGAAATCGTTGTTACCGGAGGTTAGGTGTTCCTTTTTCTATACGTGTATGTGTTTTGCTGTCAGCGATAAACTGTGATTTATTTCTTCAAAGTTCACTTTGGGTCAGTAGAAGAGTGCTACCAAATTTAATCTATCATCGAAGGTTCATGTTTCTTAAGGGTTATTTTGCATTTATGCTTGGTTCGTTTCTTGATTACAGCATCTACGCTAGGTATCGAGCAGATCGCGTATTCTGTGTATATGTGTGTGATCTGAATAACTACAGCTTCCAAAAGAAACTGTAGTGAAATTCCCCACCTAGTGGTTGTTTGGTTATCTTCACCACCCCTGTCTTCACTATGTCCACCTGGAGTCCAGTGATTTATATTGGCGTTAGCGAATGTCGCTGCAGGTTCTTACTATACCAGTAAGGTCAATTAAGCAGAGGTTAGATCGGAAGCAATTATCATCCTAATAGAAGTCGTTTACACCATGTTGTTGAGCTTCTGAAGGGAAATTCGTATTGTTGGCGAATATCGGATTAACAACAGAGAGGTGTTTCCTTTGGACGACCACCAGGCTAACGATAGTGTCTCTCCGATTAAGGCGACGGTGGGTTAAAATAGGTCGACCCCGAAAACTGTACATCCCAACACATGCTGTGGTAGCTCGTAGTCTGTAGTGACGTCTTCATACGGAGAATTACTTTAAACAGGCGCTTTGTGGCCAGCCTCCGTTTGTTCTATGGTTATACAACTCTAGCGGTCTTTCTGTTTTAGGTACTTGAAGAGTTCAGTCACATTGGTCAGCATAGAGTCATCTTAGGTGGATATTGGGATTCTTGGATGCGTTTTATTCTACAGAATTCAGATCCCCACTGTGTTTTCCCTACTTATTCTGATCGATAAAGGATAAACACTAATTAAATGATTATGCAAGAATTTACAAGGGAACGTCTACCTGGGTGGTGGGGTAGCTAGGCAGTAACTGTGGATATCTCCGTGCGATTATCACGTAATTATCAGTTGCGTCTAATAAGTCATCTAGTATGGAGTTCTGGATTAGTAATTCTTAGGTGAAGATCTAGCTCATTAACGTAGGCACTGAACTCTTCGCGAAGTTGAACTATACCAGCCAAAATCACTGGGACTTTGAACAACCAATCACAATTCAAATGGAATAAAATCCCCCATAATCGTTGAAAGTGTATTTCAATATATTAAATATTCCCATAGTAAAATTTAGAACAACACATTTAAGCGAACAATAATGCTGTTTTCAATTAGATCTCATCAGGCTTAACTCTAATATACACAAGTTAACAAATAAAAATTCAAATATAAACCAATCGTGGTGTTTTGTCTATAAGATAATAAAATGGCGAATAGAAATTGTGCAATTAGTCTAATAGTAATAATGAGAATAATAATAATGGTCTTATCAATAATAAGGATGAAAAAGTGAGGCAATCTGTGATAACATAAATAGTGAAAAAACAGCATGATTAAACAAACAAATGTTCAGGTGGAAGTAGTCGATAAAGACTAGTAAAAACAAATGAATCGATTAAGTAATGCTAGATTGTAAAGGAAGTAAATAAAACACGTTTTTAATGAAGATGTAATAAGATTAAGGGATGATAAGAGAAGGGTTGAAAATATAAGTAAGGTGGGGTAGTGACGAAGCCATTAGTTGGTTATGTCTTAGTAGGCCATCAAGGAGGGATAATGGCTGTACGAACTTGTGAATGCATAGTTTAGGTTTAATCGTTCTAATGCTTATCGCCTCAGCTATGTGCAGTAGATGAGTACGAAGTCTATTTGAAAGATTCGCTGGGATACGACGAATTACTTTGAAAGCTCTCGTTTTCTCGACTACATGACCACTATCAATTAAATGTAACAAAATTTAGCTACGGATTGTTTTGTCTGTCCTTTACCAAGTGACGATGAAAGCAGTGCACTAACACGTTGGCTAAGCTGTCTAGTAGTACGTCCAACATAACTGTCACCGCAGATGCAGCTTCACTGATAAATGGACATAGATGTGGTAAAACTATCAAGCTTATCCTTCGTTTGCGTCCCAATCATTCGTCGGCTAGAGAATGACAAACATAGGTGTGCTGCGTAAAATGTTCTTCGTATACTCCTGGAAAGTCTTTCGAATAAAATCTCACTTGATAAGTCACCATTAAATTGTAACTTAATAAACAGAGGCTTTTTACGTACAGTCCGAGTCTCAGGTTTTCCCTCTGATATTTTCATATATTTCTTTATGAAACTACTCAGATAGCCCATCTCCATCAAAGAATCGTGAATATATTCAAATTCATTTTGTAAGAGGTCATCCGTACATATCTTTATTGCTGTGCTCGCGAGACATTTAACAACATTCCTTTCATATTTAATGGGCACGTAACTAAGGAAGTGTGTGTATTGCCCTTTGAATGTGCTTTTTCTATACACGCTTCTCCCGAGTGACCCATCTTCTCTCCTGTTTAGCAAGACATCCCAAAAATGTAGTTTATTCTCTTGCTCCTCTTCACAAGTAAGGGTAAGCGAAGGGTGGATGTTGTTGAATTTCAGCAACAATTCGTCTATGTTAATATTCCCATCAGATAAGATAAATGTATCATCGACATATCGGTAATACATGTCAGACTCCTTGATGATGTCCTTCAATTTCCCGTTTTCAAGTTTTCCGAGAAAGAAGTCATCTAATATTGGGCCTAATGGTGAGCCCATAGCTATTCCATCTACTTATTGATATTATGAATTATTGAAGACAAAGTGTATTTCAAAAATAATTGAAAACATGATATTACGCTGGACAGTTATCTTCTGTGTGTTGTAAAAATGCTTCCCAGTCACTCTGAGGATAATCCATAGAGAAATCATACGATACACGACACATTTGTTCATCCAAGTGACTGTAGATCATGGTATTTTGGGATCCAGTGATATTTCGTGACCCTGGTTTCCAACCTACCCCAAAATCCTTCTATAGAATTTGTGTGGGTGCCTGTGATTGGGTCCACAAGATCAAAGGAATGGGTGGCACAGTGGTCAATATAACCCAAATATCTATAAAACACAAAATAATTGAGCAAAGAGAAATATCCTTTTCGATAATTTCCTCTTCTTGCTCTACAATTATATGCATGTTTATATACATAGAATATTGTAGATTAGTAGCCAACAACAATATTGGTCATTTATAAAGTTATATTTGTAAAATCTCAGCGAAATTGAAATGATTAATTGGTGTTTTTTTAAAAATAATATCGATTTGTTAAGTAAGATCGCAATGGAATTCCCACAATTCACGAAAGATACAAAAATTATAATAAGCATACAAATATAATAGGAAATAGAATATCGACTAAAATTAAGGAAATTTCTAAACCAAAAAATTAAGGATCA